TTGGTTCTAAGTTCATTCTAATAGTCTTTTAATATATGGTTAATGAAGATAAACTCAATTAAGTAAACAGAGAAAAACTTAAGTAAAGGCATTAATTTATTTTGGTGTACAGAAGAGCAAATATCAGAAATGTTTGATTGTATTATTGTCCTACGGAAAAAAATTCACTGCATTTGAGCAAATTCTGCTTGTAGTCATTAACAGCCCCTTTTTCACATATAATTAGGTAATGCTTTCAGGCATAATTTCTGCTCTACTGTAGCCTGTTGTTTGGAGGACACCAATAATTTTTAGGCTGACAGTCCATCTTCTGTGAGCGTTAGTCATCAAGCATAAATGAAATGTGGCTACCTAAAGTGGACTATAAGTTCAGCGTGGGTGACAGTGGTGTGACACAGCAATTCATTAGCTGAATTACCGTTATTTAGACTGACTTTCTAGTTTTTCTTATCACTTCAAAGTGAGTTAGCATTAACAACAGACACATACTTATTTAGAAATCAAATGTAGTACTGCACAGAAGGAATGTTTCTTTATTTGTCTCCTGAGATATACAATTCTATATAAAGGTAATGTCCCTAAGATGGTATTTCTAAATAAGACAAAGGTGTGATATGTGCATATTCTCATTACTACGTTATTTATCATTTACAGAGTTAGGGATAGGTGAAAGAGTAATTTGGTTGTGTTCATTCCATTTAAATGAAGACTGTATACTCAAACACAGCTGTTTTACTTCTTGTTATGGTCCTGTTAAAATTGGTGCACATGTACACAGAAACATTTATAACAGCTATAAAACAGTAAAATTGAAAACACCCAAAAGTATCAATAAGACCAATTAAATTGTCATATCGTGACACCATGGAATATCAAGGAAAAATGATGAGAGATGAAATAAAAAATGAGAGACTGTGTATAGTTACGGGGTAAGATTTTGAAAGTAATGTATAATACCATGTATGACTAAAAACACACACATAATTCCAATAAATAGACTATATAAATGGATGTGTGTGTGTATTTGTGTATAAACTCCTGTTAATGCATATTTATACACACACATTTATATAGGCAAATGCTTTGAGATGATCTGAGAACATATGTATCTAACAAACAATAGTGGCTAACTCTGTGGAAAAAGTAAAATTTGTGAGTGATGGTCACAAAAGATTTTAGCTTTTCTGTATTTTCAGTATTTTACAAACATAAATAAATATTTTATGAGAATATTGAGTTGAAATTCATTTTTGCAGGTGAGGAAACTGAGTTCCAGGATGTCGTGGGTAGAAAATGAATTAACTTTATTAAGATCATGTTCAGTATTGGAATGAAGTTCACTGCTTGCAAACATGTAACTTTTGTCAAGTTATTGTGTCTCTCCAATTAATGATTTAGTCATTGTTAAAAAGGGGGTGATAACAGTACTTAATTTCTTAAGATGTGCATTAGGTACCATGTCTCATTTCTGTATGTATCTATGTATATATCTATGTATCTATCTATCTATCTATCTATCTATCAACTATCTATCTATCGCTCCCAGCCATTGACTACAAAGAGGTGTGGCTTGATAAGGGTCTTGTTTCAGCTTCAACAGGTGTGCCATGAGCTATGTCACCATGTAGGAGGCCTATGGGAGACAAGTTAACAGATATGGCATGTGCACACACCATAGAATGCAGGGGGACACTGAAAGCTTTGTAGTTATCTCTAGAGAGGCTGAGACACAGCAATTACATTTAGATTGGCTTTCCGCTCTCCCTGTTTGGCTCTTCCCAATCTCCTTTGCATTTCTTGTTTCTTAGGATTACATCTGATAAAATCTACTTGCATTCAGGGCACTGTTTTTTGGGTGGGTAGGGGGATTGGAGTGGTGATGGGAGAAATGTGTACTGAAATAGGATGTGAAAAGTATCCACTCTGCTAAGTGCAGAAAACTATTCCTAGCAAAAGTTAGCATACTGAATGGTAAATATTGATATCTTATCAGTTATTGAACAAGTTATAACTATTAAAGGATTATTGAAGTGTAATTAGTGTACAATAAATTGCACATATTTAAAGTGAACCATTTGATGAGTTTTAACATATACATATATTCATGGAACCATCGATACAAAACAACAAATAGACTTTTCCATTTCTCCTCTAAGTTTTCTTGTGCCCATTTGTAATCCATCCCTCTCTTCACCACTGTAAAATAGCAAACACTTCTCTGCTTTCTGTAATTGAAGATTCATTTTCATAAAAATTTTATATGTTAAATCATATAGTATGTGCCCTTTTCAGAAAAAGATTTCTGACTTTTTTCGCCCCATGTAATGATTTTGAGAGTCAATCATGCTGTTCACTGTATCAGTGGTTAATTTCTTTCTATTAGTATGCAGTATCTTTATTACATATTATAGCACAATTTGAAAAAAATCTGCTTGTTAAGGGAAATTTGGGTTGTTCCCAGTTTGAAGCTTTTACAAATAAAGAGGCTGTAAACCGTCATGCATGTGACTTTGTATGAATATATACTTTATTTTTTATGAATAAATACTTAGTAGTAAGAGTGGCTGGGGCATATAGCAAGTACATGTTTAACTTTTTAAGATAGTTGGAAAATGCCTTTCAAAATTATGCTATTTTACTTTCCCTCTAGCAGAATGGGAGTTCCAGTTTATCCCCAACCTAATACTCTTTCCTTAAGCTATTCTGGTGGGTATGCAGTTGTATCTCATTGTGAATTTAATTTTCATTTTCATGATGATTAAGAATATTGAGCATTTTTTCATGCATGCATGTGCCATCCATATATCTCTTTGGCAAAGTATTTTAAATAGAACATGAAATACTATCCCATTTAATGATTAGTATGCCCTGAATTGAGTTTGAGATAGGATACCTAAATCTACCAACCCCACAGTGGAGTCTTGGTTTCAGTGTTTATCTCATATTCTGGCCATTTATTCATGCTGAATGTCATTTTATTTTTAAGTATATGGTGATGTTATACATTAAAATCCTTAAATACAAGCTGAATACTTTATTTTCTGCACAGTTTAAGCAATTGGTCTTCTTACGGTTAAACATGGAGTAAAATTTTTCCATCTTGGATTTTTTTAAGGGAAAATGTTCAAACATGCAGATAAAACATAGAGAAAAACCTTAACACCCATTTAACCAATCACAGCTCTATCAAATTTTAACATTTGACATTTCCTACTCTTACTTTTCTCTCATCCACCTCTAAAAAAATGTCTTAAGTTTAGTGTGTAATGTGTTCAAGAATATTTTAACACCTTTAAGATATTTGTTATCTGTGAAGAAACATAAATTACGTGTCATTGTTTTCTACAGTACTAGTTTTTATGTGAATGATACTGCAAGTATCATTCTACAGGTTGATTTTTCATTCAGTATTTTCTTTTTGACATTTATTCATGTTGAACATTTAGCTAAAATTTATTTACTATATGCCATCACACCATATTAATATCTTGTAATTTATATATCCATTCTTTTGTTGATATATCCTGAGTTTTATTTTGAGTCTTTTATCATTGCAAGCAATACTACAATGCATAGTTCCATATTGTTTATTTGTTCAAGTGTGTATGCTTCTCTTGGGTTCAGTAAATAATGTCTAGTATCTCTCTAGATAAACTTTTGATGTATAGAAGTTATTGAAGTAATCAAATTTATCAACAATTTATTCTTTGATTGTTGCTTTCTTGCTCACTTTAAAAACAAACATATTCTAAAATAGTGAAAAGATTTTCCCCCAATTTTTTTAAACAGTGAGAATTTAATTTTTTTTCTGGTTAAGTATCTGCAATTACCACAGCAGAATGATTTAGTATGCAGTCTATTCTTTTATTGTTTTATTCTTTAATTGCCACATACAATTCTCTTATTTTGTTGCAACACTTCTTTTTTTCTAAACATGTGTTATATAGCAGGCCATCTCAGTCATTTCACTAAGCCTTGAGATCTGGTAGTGTTAATACCGCCACTTCCTCTTACCTTATTCTGTAAGAGTGTCTTGGCAACGTAGTCAGTACCATCTAGGACATAGATATGAGCAAAGATTTTATGACAAAGATGCCAAAAAGCAAAAATTGATAAATGCAATCTAATTAAACTAAAGAGCTTCTGCATAGGAAAAGAAACTATCAACAGAGTAAATAGACAACCTACAGAATGGGAGAAAAAAACTGCAAACTATGCATTCAACAAAGCTCTAATATCCAACACCATTAAGGAACTTAAACACATTTACAAGAAACAACCAACCAACTCCATGAAAAAAAAGTGAGCAAAGCGCATGAACCGGCACTTTTCAAAAGAAGACATTTACGTGGTCAACAATCATGAAAAAAAGCTCAACAACACTGATCATTAGAAAAATGTAAATCAAAACCACAATGAGATATCATCTCACATCAGTCAGAATGACTATTATTAAAAAGTAAACAAATAACAGATATTGATGAAGTTGTGGAGAAAAAGGAATGCTTATACACTGTTGGTGGGAATGTAAATTAGTTCAGCCATTGTGGAAGACAGTGTGGCCATTCCCCAAAGAGCTAAAGACAAAAATACCATTTGACCCATTAATCCCATTATTGGGTGTATATCCAAAGGAAGGTAAATCATTCTATTATAAAGACACATGAATTCGTATGTTCATTGCAGCACTATTCACAATAGCAAAGACATGAAATCAACCCAAATGTCCATCAGTGATAGACTAGATAAAGAAAATGTGGTACACACCGTGGAATACTAGGCAGCCATTAAAAAAGAATGAGATCATGTCTTTTGCAGAAACATGGATGGAGCTGGAGACCATTATCCTCAGCAAACTAACACAGAAACAGAAAACCAAATACTGCATGTTCTCACTTATTAGAGGGAGATAACTGATGAGGACACCTGGGCACACAGAGGGAAACAACACACACTGGGGCCTTTTGGAGGATAAAGGATAGGAGAAGGCAAAAGATCAGGAAAAATAATTAATGGGTACTAGGCTTAATACCTGGGTAATGAAATAATCTGTGTATCAAACACCCATGACACAAGCTTACCCATTTAACCAACCTTCACGTGTATGCCTGAACTTAAAAAAGAGTGTCTTGGTTATTCTTGGCCCTTTGTTCTTTAGTATAAACATCAGATAATTGGGAAATTCTAAAGGAAAACAAAATGTTGAGATTTTGATTTTATAAATTAATAATTCACATGTATAAGATTTTAATATTTTTCATCCAAGAGAATGGTACATTTGTTTATTCAGAACTTATGTAAAATCAGCACTGACTGTGGTGGCCGATGCCTGCAATTCCTGCAGATTGAAAGGCTGAGGTGAGAGAATTTCTTGAGGCCAGAAGTCAGAGGCTGGCCTGGACAACATAGCAAAACCCAATCTTTAAAGAAACTTTAAGAATTATCAGGGTATGGTGACATACCTCTTTAGTCCTAGATACTGAAAAGGCTAAGGTGGAAGGATCCTTTGAGTCCAGGAGTTTGAGATTATAGTTAGCTATGATCACATGATGGCACTTTAGCCTGGGAGATAGAGTGAGACTGTGTCTATAAAAAGTAAATTTAAGAAATATTTTAGTAAAATGTTTTACATGTAAGTTTGCATATATTTAACTTATGGCTAAGTATCTAGTTTTGTTTGCTATTACTAAGACTATTGATTTCAGTCTATTTTAATTGTAAATTTGAATCAAATTTTGCTTATATACAGAAATATGACTTTCTCATGTTCTTTTAGAATATCTCTGAACTTTTGTTAATTCCATGTAAATTTAGACTTCCTTGGATTGTCATTGAAATTATAAATTTAATAAATACGGTGATTATATTAGGGTTCTCCAGAGAGAAGGAAATAATAGGAGATAGATAGATAGATAGATGATACATGGATAGATGATAGATAGATAGATAGATAGATAGATAGATAGATAGATAGATGATAGATAGATAGATAGAGATAGGGATATAGAAATTGGCTTGCAGATTATAGAGGCTGAGAGGTCCCATAGCAGATTATCAGAGGGCTGGAAACCCAGGGAAGCTGGTAGCCTTGGGCTCAGTTCATGTCTGAAAACTTTGGAACCATGGATGGTATAAGCCTGAATCCAAGGCCAAAGGTCTGAGAACCATGTGGTAGTGGTGGTAGTATGGCATCAAGGAAATGGGGGACAGTGGTGATGAGGTGAGGGTGGGAGGGAGACAGAGAGAGAGAGAGAAACATATACCTTTCCTCTAACTGCCGTTTCTGTTCTCTCTGGCCACCAGCTATTGAATGGTGCTGCCCACACTGGGGGCAGATTTTCAGTCTCACATGACAATCTCCTCTCAATCCCCTTGGGAAACAGTCTCACAGGCACATTCAGAAATAATGCTTTACCAACTGTCTTGGTATTTATTAATCCACTGAAGCTGATAACTGAAATTAACCATCACATTTAATTATTAGTGCAATTCTGTCTTGTTTTTTTTCCTTGCCTTGATACAAAACAATATTGAATATTTTTCTTGATCCTAAATAAGTTGTATAGTAGTATAAAACCATGTGATTATATGGTAAATAATTTTATTATAATTTTTACTTAATATATTTTAAAGCAAATTCTGCTTTGTAACATTGTGATAATTACAATCTTGTTTAAGTCAAACTACAATTCCTTTATATTGAGTAGGGTATTACATAAACTCAAAAGGCATGTTTCTTTTAAATAAAACATTTTTAAAATAAAAACAATTAGAGTATTAATTAAAATACATCTCAGTTTCTAGGGTTTCATACCCAAGGACAGAATGACTTGTTCTTGAAGGTAATTATAAATGTCTGTAAATGTTTTTGTTTTCTTTTTTAATTGCATTTTAGGCTTTGGGGTACATGTGAAGAACATGCAAGACTGAAGCATAGATACACACATGGCAGTGTGATTTTCTGCCTTCCTCCCCTTCACCTATATCTGCCTTTTCTCCCCATGCTATCTCTCCCCACCTCCCCACCCCCAATCCCTCCCCCATTTCCCCCCAACAGACCCCGGTGTGTAGTGCTCCCTTCCCTGTGTCCATGTGTTCCCATTGTTCAACACCCATCTATGAGTGAGAACATGCGGTGTTTGATTTTCTGCTCTTGTGTCAGTTTGCTGAGAATGATGGTTTCCAGGTTAATCCATGTCCCTACAAAGGACACAAACTCATCATTTTTGATGGCTGCATAATATTCCTTGGTGTATATGTACCACATTTTCCCTGTCCAGCCTATCATCGATGGGCATTTGGGTTGGTTCCAGGTCTTTGCTATCGTAAACAATGCTGCAATAAACATTCGTATGCATGTGTCCTTATAATAGAACAATTTATAATCCTTTGGATATATACCCAGTAATGGCATTGCTGGGTCAAATGGAATTTCTATTTCTACGTCCTAAAGGAATCACAACAGTGTCTTCCACAATGGTTTAACTAATTTACACTCCCACCAACAGTGTAAAAGTGTTCCTATTTCTCCACACCCTCTCCAGCATCTGTTGTCTCCAGATTTTTTAATGATTGCCATTCTAACTGGCATGAGACGGTATCTCAATGTAATTTTGATTTGCATTTCTCTAATGACCAGTGATGATGATCATTTTTCATATGTTTATTGGCCTCATGTATGTCTTCTTTTGTAAAGTGTCTGTTCATATCCTTCGCCCACTTTTGAATGGGCTTGTTTTTTCCTTGCAGATCTGTTTTAGTTCTTTGTAAATTCTGGATATCAGCCCTTTGTCAGATGAGTAGACAGCAAAAATTTTTTCCCATTCTGTTGGTTGCCGATTCACTCTAGTAACTGTTTCATTTGCCGTGCAGAAGCTGTGGAGTTTGATTAGGTCCCATTTGTCTATTTTGGCTTTTGTTGTCAATGCTTTTGGTGTTTTGGGCATGAAGTCCTTGCCTACGCCTATGTCCTGAATGATTTGCCTAGATTTTCTTCTAGGATTTTTATGGTGTTAGGTCTTATGTTTAAGTCTTTAATCCATCTGGAGTTAATTTTAGTGTAAGGTGTCAGGAAGGGGTTCAGTTTCTGCTTTCTGCACATGGCTAGCCAGTTTTCCCAACACCATTTATTAAAAAGAGAATCTTTTCCCCATTGCTTGTTTTTGTCAGGTTTGTCAAAGATCAGATGGTTGTAGATGTGTGGCATTGCCTCCAAGGCCTCTGTTCTGTTCTATTTGTCTATATCTCTGTTTTGGTACCAGTAGCATGCTGTTTTGATTACTGTAGCCTTGTAGTATTGTTTGAAGTCTGGTAGTGTGATGTCTCCCGCTTTGTTCTTTTCGCTTAGAATTGACTTGGCTATGCAGGCTCTCTTTTGGTTCCATATGAAGTTTAAGGTGTTTTTTTCCAGTTCTGTGAAGAAGGTCATTGGGTAGCTTGATGGGAATAGTGTTGAATCTGTAAATTACTTTGGGCAGTATGGGCATTTTCACGATATTGATTCTTCCTAACCATGAACATGAAATGTTTCTCCATCTGTTTGTGTCCTGTCTTATTTCGTTGAGCAGTTGCTTGTAGTATTCCTTGAAGAGGTCCTTTACGTTCCTTGTTATTTGTATTCCTAGGTATTTTATTCTCTTTGCAGCAATTGTGAATGGCAGTTCATTCTTGATTTGGCTCTCTTTAAGTCTGTTATTGGTGTATAGGAATGCTTGTGATTTTTGCACATTGATTTTGTATCCTGAGACTTTGCTGAAGTTGCTTATCAGTTACAGGAGATTTTGGGCTGAAACGATGGGGCCTTCTAGATATACAATCATGACATCTGCAAATAGAGACAATTTGACTTCCTCCTTTCCTATTTGAATATCCTTTATTTCTTTTTCTTCCCTGATTGCTCTGGCTAGAACTTCCAGCACTATATAGATTAGGAGTGGTGAGAGAGGGCGTCCTTGTCTAGTGCCATATTTCAAAGGGAATGCTTCCAGTTTTTGCCCATTCAGTATGATATTGGCTGTTGGTTTGTCATAAATAGCTTTTATTATTTTGAGATACGTTCCATCAATACCTAGTTTATTGAGGGTTTTTGGCATAAAGCACTGTTGAATTTTGTCAAAGGCCTTCTCTGCATCAATTGAGATAATCATGTGGTTTTTGTCTTTGGTTCTGTTTATGTGGTGAATTACGTTTATAGACTTGTGTATGTTGAGCTAGTCTTGCATCCCCGGGATGAATCCTACTTGATTGTGGTGTATAAGCTTTTTGGTGTGCTGTAGCAATCAGCTTGCCAGTATTTCATTGAAGATTTTTGCATCTATGTTCATCATGAATATTGGTCTGAAGTTTTCTTTTGTTGTTGAGTCTCTGCCGGGTTTTGTTATCAGGATGATGTTTGTCTCATAAAATGATTTGGGAAGGATTCCCTCTTTTTGTATTGTTTGGAATAGCTTCAGAAGGAATGGTACCAGCTCCTCTTTGTATGTCTGGTAGAATTTGACTGTGAACCTGTCTGGATCTGGGCTTTTTTTGGATGGTAGGCTATTAATTGCTGCCTCAACTTCAGACGTTGTTATTGGTCTATTCAGGTTTTCAACTTCTTCGTGATTTAGGCTTGGGAGGAGGCAAGTGTCCAGGAATTTATCCATTTCTTCCAGGTTTACTAGTTTATGTACATAGAGTTGTTTGTAATAATCCCTGATGATGGTTTGAATTTCTGTGGAATCTGTGGTGATATCCCCTTTATCATTTTTTATTGCATCAATTTGGTTATTCTCTCTTTTCTTTTTTATTTATCTGGCTAGTGGTCTGCCTATTTTGTTGATCTTTTCAAAAAACCAGCTCCTGGATTTATTGATTTTTTGAAGAGTATTTTGTGTCTCTATCCCCTTCAGTTCTGCTCTGATCTTAGTTATTTCTTGTCTTCTGCTAGGTTTTTAGTTTTTTTGATCTTGCTCCTCTAGCTCTTTCAATTTTGGTGCTAGGGTTTCAATTTTTGATCTCTCTTTGCTTCTCGTGTGGGCACTTATTGCTATATATTTTCATCTAGAGAGTGCTTTAAATGTGTCCCAGATATTCTGGTATGTTGTGTCTTCATTCTCATTGGTTTCTAAAAACATCTTTATTTCTGCCTTC